ATAGAGGATTGAATGTTGTAAAGTCCCTAATACTTGCATTTATATAATTCAAAGTCATATTATTTTAGCACTTTACTTGATTATCTATGATTATATATTCAAGGCAACGCAATTTAAACAGATTTAACTTACTTTAATCTCATATTTCTCTTGAAATAAATCATCTTATCTGATATACAGACTTATCCCTTAATCTCCCTCATTGCTGGTGCCCTGGCTTGGCTAATAAATTATTTAATTAGCACTCATTAACATTTTTGATCATCGCTGGCCAAGTGCGTGGCCGCACACCGAACTATCGGATAAGATCGCCAACACGTTTGCTGGAGCCGCCGCACTGGATGGGATCATCACTCATAGAGGCATCGGGCATCGGGGGAACCCCCTTTTGCTCGGAGGTGTGACAAATTTTTGGGCCTCCTGCTCCGCTTCTTCCCCCGATCTTGGTGTGTGGCGATCGACAAATGCGCTGTTTACCTGCAGCAACACGAACTGTGGATGTCCCAGAGCAAAGTATACCCATCCGGGGAATCCATTAAGTGGTTAATCATATGCGCAGAGAGGCTCCAGTGTCCTTTTCGGGTGGTGGTATCCTTTACCCTTAGCCCTGCTGCTGCGGCTGCCTTTCTGCCACAATTAATATGCGTCCAGCGATCGTAATCAATTCTCTGCCAGCGCGACGCATAGTCATCGTAGAACTCGTACCTCTGGCTCGGGGAACACGTGCGGGTCATTAGTCGCAGTCACGCATTTTGAGTCGAGCCGGTGTCCGAGCCCGGAGTGCCACCACCAGCACCTCCAGATTCCACATCCACATCGCCTGGTCCTCCACCTCCACTAAAAACAGACCACCGCCGACATGGCGAGACTCCACCTCCTCCGTTTCGTTGATTTTTAGTAGGAAATGATTTCGTACGCTTCGTTCAACTTGGATTTTCGTTTTCATTTTGTGTTTAGTTTTTGGCGCTCAGCTGCGCAAAATTTTATGAGTAGCTGGAACTGAGGATTGCTCGCTGTGGCCCTTTTGTTTGGTTTACCTTAATGGGTTCTAATGAACCATGGAAGCCCAGCCCGCACTGACCAGAGTCAGCAATCAATGACTACTGATTCGGGGCAAACTAGCAGAGCGAGGTCCGGAGGGTAAAATCAAATTAATAAGGAAGAAAGCTGTTTAAATTTAACAGGGATAAAGAATATAGAAAGCATTACTTTAATCAATGAATTAGCCTTATGCCATATGCAGGAATTGTTACAACACTTAATGAGTCCTGCCGCAATCATTTTCTCCTGCCCCAGCCAAGTCACGTGTGTGTGGCAGGAGGAGAAGGCCGAGGCAACTACGCAACTAAAAGCAAACAATTTAGGTCCTGTGGCAGCAGTTTCCCCATCAATGTCATATCCATATGCCTGGCACCGAAAAGGATATGGTCTGAGCTTCTGTGGCAGCTTGCCAACAAAAGTGTGGCATGCAACTCGGCCGTCCGATGCTTTTAACCTCTTTGGCCTGCAGGCAACCGAGCGATTTCTTGGGGATTCGATTAATGGTTACCACTAATGCAGCACTAATACATTAGAGCGACTTTGGTCTCGAAAATCGGTGGCACGTGCGCGACAAATACCGACAAATTTGTTATGAAAAATAAACAAACACAACTCGATACACACACACAAGGGAAATATATATTTATTACTAATATCTGACAACAATTTATGCAGCCATTAACAGCGGCAATACAACGTGTTTATTTCAACATTCTGCCAGGCCCAAAGGGGCCAGCAGACGGAATAAAGAAATAAAAAATTATAAATATTAATATCTTGAAAATCAATCACAATTCAAGACATGTCCGGCGCTTGGACGAGTGCAAAAATCGCCCATAACCCATAAACTGTTCATAAATTCAAACACCCACGAATAGAGTATTATTCACCCAGAGCGAACGGCGGCAGACAAAAGACGATGGACAACAATGAGTCCGCTGGGTATTCGTGTGGGCCTTCAGTGGGTCACTTGTGGGTCTTAGACGCAGAAAAGTGATAGTAATGGATCAATAAACGCAATGATAAAGCCCTAAATTCAGCAAAAATTACTCACAAAGTAAATTTTATTTTGTAATCGTAAATATCATGCAAATTTATTGTCCCTGGGATGATATATTCAGCAATTGAAAAGGAAGTACTATGACCAGTTCCCGTTCTCAGTTAGCCGCTGCATAAATTTATGGCGCTAATAAAAATGTTGAAAAAATAAATTAGCGAAATTCCGGAAATTGTAACAAATTAGCATCAGAACAATGTAATTAGTAACGCTGTGCTGGAGAGGGAAACGATTAAAGTATTGTATATATTATATAGTAATTAGAACAGCAGTTCAACCACCAAACTTTAATATTTATAGAAGCATTTTTTTGGACTAACGATACTTGTTTTAAAAGAATCAAGTAAATTTTAAATTCAGTACAGCTTAAGACGGAAAATATTTCCTACAATTTTGATTACAATTTTATTTTTAGGGAACCTTTTCACTTTCCGGGAGGGTGTGTGTTTAAACAGCTTTCCCTTTTCTGTTGACTTAATTGTGTCTATTTGCTTAACGCTGTATATTTTTTGTTTCTGTTTTTTTTTGGTGAATAACTAGGAAGACTTCGAAACAGCAGCCGTTGAGTCCGAAGTGTTATACAATAACTCATTAATAACATATAAAGCTGGACAAGGGAACCGTGTGTGTGTGTGTGCACCAACAGCTGGCTGACAGCTCTCTGATAAGGGGGAGTCATAAGGGGGTTCCCGGTAAAGCCATGCAGAACTTCCGTTCCATTCCGCTCCGGAAAGGGGGACCTGCAACATAATTACACGACTTTCCTAGCTACAAGCTCCATTTGAGCTTCCGTTTTGGGAGCAAATGCTGCAAATTTACCAATCCCCTCGCCCTTCGGCTCACTCCAAAAATGCATTATTAATTGCTTGGCTTTGATTTATCTTAGAAGCAGCCCCATGCCCCGAGACCCTTCCACTTTGGCAACCCTTGGAGCATTTTCCCTAACGCTCCCCCCAGACTCACAATGTTTAATTGTGGAAATGAGAAATATGCGGAAGCGTTGACGATTCCGCTCCAGCGTCTGCTGCACTTGTCGCATCACTTGATGCGCCCAGCCCCAGTTTCAGTCCCGGTGCCTGTCCCTGTCCCTGTCCCTGTCCCTGTCTGTGTCCCGGTCCGTGTCCATGTCCGTGCCCATGCCCCACCCACTGGGCACCCATGCTCCCTTCTTCCGTCACTCGTTAGCTGGCATGTCAGCGACAAAGTCAGCCCTTTGAATGCACTGGGAGAAAATGAAGATCTAGACTAAGTTGGAAGTGTAAATTAAAGGTTATTTTACTAATGAGTAAAAGAAGAAATAATAAATATATCTATACATTTAAGTTTCTACTTATAAACAATTAGGTAAACGAGTAATAGTTTTCCCTCAGTGTAACACATCAGCATCTGTAGCTGTCTGTTCCACTCCCACATGCTCTGTCTCGGCACTTGCCGCTTTCTCCTACTCCCCCTCTGCCGCTGCCTGCACCTCACCCGACTAAATGACACAAAAATATGGGCTTAACCGGAAACGGATGTATTATCTGCGCTAACTGCGCTGCCACACACACACAGAGAGAGAACCGTCAGTCAGTCAGTCAGAGACAGGCCGGGTTGGGCTCAAAACCCGGCTCGTTCTCGAGCACGGGCCTGGGCTCTCTGCTTGGACTCGGGTCGTGGAACTAATAGAATATTATAAATCGTGCCCAAGCACATGGAATGGGGCAACCTGTCTTCTCCACTGACCCACGGATGACAGTGGCGGCTCCTCCTCCTCTGCCTCCTCCTCCTCCAACCCATTTCCGAATTCTGAATCCACCGCCGGGCCTGTGTTCTCGTTCGTTACGCTTCTGTGAGCTTTTTGGCTTGTGCTTTTTGCGGCTCCCGAACGTTTCATGTTCACATTCGCATGCAAAATCCCAAATAGAGTTAGGTATATGATGAGAGTGTGTGTGGCTCTGGGGGAAATCTCCGTTAGTTTGTTGTCTGGCCAAAATAGAGGTAACCAGGGGGAGTCTCGGCCTGGTCCACTGCATTCGCTTGCATGTCGTTGTCCAAGCACTTTGCCAACGCTTTCACTTTCCTCATGCGAACCTCTGGCGGTGGCCCTTTCATCATTGTCATACGGGGGCATGGAAACTAAAAAAAAACAAGAAAGGAAACTAACTTCGGAAAGTTAAAGTTTATAAGTCCTTAAAGTTTATAAATCCTTTTAGTTTGCAAATGAATTATAGGATCGTATTGGAAATCGATCATAATTAAGTATTTATTTGACAATTCAAAGTTTTAAAAACTCATAATTATGCCAAAAACGCATTTATTTTAATTCGGAAAGCGGTTCAATGTTAGTTTTTAATAGGTTAATTAATCTGATATTGATGCTGATCAAGATTATATATGATTTATGGGGTCGGAAATGATTTCTTTATTGTTTTACTAGCTTCTAACTATACTATAAAGATGCTAAAAATACAAATAATCATACTAATCTTTACAGAACATAATAAAGTAACTAGACAACTATGATTTGTTTGTATCGAATCTCAAGTTGACTTTCTTGAAATCTATATTTGCCCTTTCTCCCCAGATCAATAATCCAATCAAGAGCGATTACAGAGACCCGAAAAGAGTTAACAATTATATTGAGAACTCGAGGGGTTCAACATACATATCTATTGCATTAAGTGCAGCTGCCCCAGAATATCTCTACCTCTCCCCCTATTCGACATTTGCATGTCCTTAGCAAAGGATCAAGGATAAGCATAGCCAGCTGATTGAGATTGAGTCATTGGCCGAACACTGGCTCTATGTTATACCGTCAACCATCAGACATCAGTTATCAGGCATCAACCGTCACCCGGCTGTGAAAGTGAGTCGTGATCGAGGCCGCAGATGCGGCAGTAAACAGAATCCTTTCCTTTCGTTCGTTTCCCTGTCTCCCTGTCGCTACATCCTTGTATCCTTTGCGTGCCATTCAAGCGATCAGCAAAATAACAACAAACAATGCCAGCCAAGGGGAGAAGGAGTAAGTGAGTAGCCAGCCTCCTTTGTGGCTGCTTTGTTAGCTTTGATCGCAGCTACTTAGAGTTTTCCATCCATCCCTTCGATTTTCGCATGCCTCGCTGGGTTTCCTTCCAGCTCGGAAAAGTACAATGGGTCTTAGCTTTGCCGAAATGCTAAATATTTATGCCTGCCATGGCATCAGCTTAGATATTATAATTATCTCTGTTTTTGGATTCAAGATGGAGTTCTATTAGGGCGTAGAAGAATATTTTGGTATATTTTAAAAATCAAAATTCAAATGTATACAAACTTTTCGTTATTCGTCAAAATTTTGCTGTTGTCTTCAAGAGAATGTTAAATGGCAGTCCGAGAAACTTAGGGCTGGCCTCCTGGCCACCCGGTGCCCTTTTGCTCAACTTTCCCCAGCCGACGGAGCCCCAGAACCAGCGGATGGTTTCAGTACACTTTCAGTCGCCGCCGGATCGTGTCCTTAACCTAAGGACCCGCCGCCTGGACTAAATCCGAATAATGGCAATGCTCTGGGCAAGTGGAGGATGCTGAAAATAACCAGATCTGGCGAAGAAGTTCATGAGGTTGTGCTATATTGTGGCGACTGTGTATTCCGTGATTACCGCGATTCAAATGCTGATCCTAACGCATCTATTCAGGCCATCTGCCGCTGACTTATTGCCCGGCTTCGTGTGCATCCTTATGTCACTGATGGCGCTTTTTTGCTCTCTATCCTGAACAAGCTGCGAAAGATCCTCTGGATGAGCATCATTCTGTCCGCCATTTTTGTGGAGCTGCTGTGTGTGGGTCTGACCTTTGCCCTGGTCCAAAGGACGCTCCTGATGGTGGCCTTAGCCTTGCTGGCCGCTGGCATCCTGCTCGTCCTTGGCTATGTACTGGGCGCCTGGCTACCCAAGTCCGTGTTGCCCGGCGAGCGGTCATGCTCGTCGTCATCGTCATCTTTGCACTGATCTCCATATTCCTCATCACCATGCATATTTTCACAAATCGGTTGATCTATGCTACGGCATACTTTTGCCTGCTCCTCGTGATGCTCATCCCGGTGAGCGCCTACCATGCCCAGCTCGTCCATGGCCGGAGATTTATGTTGCCCACCTATGAGTTTGTCATCTCAGCCACGTACATCTATCTGCACTTTGTGTTGTTATTCTGTGCCTCCTTCTACTGCCTCTGGCTCCTTGATGTGTGAGCTATTATCCCTAATATATTCCACAACTAAAACAAATCTTGAAACTGTTTAGGTTTATTAACTGAGACACTTTTCTAATAAATGCTAAATATTGAAATGTCGATCCAGTTTATTTCAACTGGTCAAAATGTCTTGGTAAACAACATCAGAGTTGTCAGCCAGTTTCAACACTCTCGCCGACACTCCGGCAGATGGACAACATCTATCATCGGGATCATGTCCGGACTGAGAGTCCCGATGTCGACGAGCTGACACAGTTCATTCGCAACAACTACATCATTGGCCTGGCCTTCATCCTCTTCACTCTGATTTTGTGGCTAATCTTTGCGGCGAGCAAGTGGCATCCGCACAAAGGCTTGCCCTTTCCAATCTACTTCTTGGTGATCACGGTCTTTCTGGTGATGGTGACCCTTAACTGCATACCCAAGATGGCAACCTGCTCGCCCTGCAAGTGGATATTGGCGGTGATCATTGTGCTCTGTACCACAATTGCCGGCTGTGTGATTATCGACGAAGTGGGTGCGCTTAACGCGTTCATTGTGATTGTGTGCGTGACTGTCGTCATTATTGTGCTCAATTTCTCGGGCTCCAAGTGCCCGCAGGACTTCCTGCCCGGCGGCGTCTGCTCCACGATGCTGATGATACTACTGCTACTGCTGCTGATCTGTGTGGGAATTGCTCAGCTGACTCTTAAAAGCCGAGAGCTGCTGCACACCTTCGTTAGCATCCTGTTCATAATGGTGGTCATTGCGATTCTCATCCAGGCGCAGTTCAATCACGGCCGCCTAACCGTTGTGGAGGTGTCTCCACCGGAACATCAGATCATCTGCGCTCTGACAATCTATCTGCACACCATGATGTTCTTGTTCTGCATCTGCTACTTCATCCAGGCGGAAACTATTCGGCAGCGTGAAATCAGTACCACGCCAGAAGACAATGGTAAGAAATACACAAACTGCTGTACTTCTTAATGTAATTGTATCTGAAACTTGCCATTACAGGTTTTTATACTAGGAATTTGTAAAAAGAGGTATATTGAAAGTCACCAAAATATAAGCAAGCATCAGCTCTGTTGATGATATTGTCAAAATTTTCAGGTATTACTAGTTATAAAATTCCAAATCAACATGTTTAGAAATCATTTTTTGCGGCCAAATCCGCGTTGGCCCAACAGACCCAATCAGGATCTCGAACAAAACGAGGAGCCAGAGCCCATTGTCATCAGTGATCGTGACCTGCGGATCTTCATCCTTCGAGTTTACTTGTGCGCTGCCGGCTTGTGTCTGCTGTCGGCGATTCCATGGATCTGTGTATCGTATCTGAAGCCGCCAGTTCATCGGGACGTTCCGGTGCCTCCATTTATATGGCTCATCTTCAGCTTCTTCCTGCTCACGATTCTCAGCTGCATTCCGCAGATACCAGTAACTAGGATGTTCTGCTGGGGCCTGGTCATCGGTTCCTTGTTCTTCATCACCCTGTATGGCTGCAACTATGTGACCGAACTGTCCGTATGGGTGGTGGCAGGAGCCATGGCCGGGGCGGTGATTTTGCTGGGCCTTCTCCATCTGTACGGTGCTTTGGCGCCAATGAAGCTACTTCCCAATATGCTCTGCACCTGCTGCTTGGTACTAATGGGCTTCATAACGCTCTTCGTGCTCCTCATGATGTCTATATTCACCGGTGATCCGCGCTACTTCTTGGCCAGCGCCATAGTGTTCTTCATCATTGTGATCTGTTTGGCTCCCTTCCAGGCCAGCTACATTTGCGGACGGTTGAAACAAGTGCCCTACGGGGAATAGCCAGCTGTGCCAATGGTATTTACTTGCACTTTTGTTTCCTGTCGACGTGTCTGATGATCTTTATAGCATTTGAATATTGAAATATTTGAGATATTATAGAGAGACATGTATTTATAAACTTTGATTTGGATTTTTAGCCAGGGTGGAGCTTTAGTCAGCTGTGTGGCTTCCTCGACCACTCTGTGTGAGCTATCTTGTTTGATCTGAATGCAGTGGAAAGTGTCCTATATCTTTATGAAATCAATGTCGTCTAAGATTATTTGTTTAACGATAATGACAGCAGCGCCTGCGCCTGCGCAACCTTGGCCTTGCCTTTAATGTTTTTCATTTTAAACTTCAACATCAAATCATATCAAATAATAACCACTCGATGAAATTATTTAAACCGAAAAAAAAGTATCGTCCTGGTGAGCCTCAGATCTATGGGATTCCGCCGGATGAGAAAATCAGCTATGCCGGCCGCATATATGGCCTGACTCTCATCCTGGCCGCCATTGCCTTGATTCAGTGGGTCATCATTGGATTGACCATTGGCAAAATCAGTCTGATAAAACACGAGGCCCTCTATGGCTGGTGGCTGTTGGGTACCTTCTATTTGGTGGCCGTCCTTGCCTGGACCAAGTTGGGACGTAAGGTACCGTTCAACTACATCCTGCTCGGGATTATTGTCGAGACCTCTACCATATACATTGCCATGGAGCAGAGGAAAAGTGAAAATAATGTGGTCAACTTTTATGCCTGCGTCATTGTGGTGGCCCTCATATTGGCGTCCATCTTTTGGGGCGCCTACTTTCCCATGTTCATTGTGCCGGGCGATTTGCTGCTCAGCATTTTGGTGGCCATATCCAATATCATGATGCTTTTGTTCTTTATCAACGCCTACTTTATCCACTACGAGGGATTTGCATTGCTGTCCGAAATACCTTTGCCGTGATTGCCGTCTCCGTAATGATGTACACGGCGACCATTATCCATGACCGACAGTTCGATGTGCCCAAGAACGAGTATCTGTTCCTGAGTGCCTTGCAGTTTTTCGCCTATATGGTGCTCAACGAGCGCATCCTTACTCTAGCCACCACTGATAGTAGCACGGATAGATGCGTTCAACATTAGTCAATAACTCACATCGAACTACTTTTAACTACTGACTTTCAAATAATAAATATACTGACAAAGTTTCGCCTGACCGGTCATTTAATATCATTATTCCCGATCTCTTCATTCAAAAGATCATTTCATTGTTCGCCCTGTCTTATTGTATAATTTTTTTCGTTGAATTTTCGATTGTTTTGGAACCTCGAACAGATTTGGCATGTGCCACAGCCAACAATGAGGAAGTGTGTTTTATTTTAAGGAAATAAATAAATAAATCGATGAATCAGCAGTGCAATTATTTAATAAGTAAACGAATTCTGTACTCAGTTTCTTAAATTACCATTAAATCTTTTCTTGCCCATCTCAAACTCCCAAGGATATTCTGATCTTGCTGAGATCAGGACCATCCCCGGCAGCTTTAATTCGTGCAGTCGCGCCTTGATTTGAACTGGATTAAGTGATGGAAAAAAAAGTAACTATAATGTGAAATTTACATAAAGAATGCGCTCTACACTCCACTTCGACCGTTTTGATAAGCTGCCGTAACCGAAGAAGAAGTGCCACTGGAAACAGGATTAATACAGCGGCGACTGGACTGTCCAGGACCGCGAACAAAAGGGGCAGCTGCGAGAGACAAAGGATCGAGGGCAATATCCACTTAAGGTCCAAGCCAGGCGAGAGGAAACTCGTTATGAGTCACACAAATCTCAGACTACGACGGCCGAGGACCATCTTCCCCCTATCTTCTCAGGAGGGAGGGAGGAACCAACCCTTTCTTCGAAGGCGTCGCGGTCAGTCGCGAAAACAATCAGCGGCCATAAATGTTGATTATGAGGATCAGAGCATAGCGATGATGAGGATGATGATTTGGATGGTGGTGATGATAATGCACTTAGAGAAATTATAAATAAAAAACTTAAGAAATTATGATTCAATGTGGAAATGTCCTAAAAATCGTAATTGTATAAAGTAAGTTCGTACTTTAGTTAATTAAAGTAACTAGGTAAGTTTTTAATGGATTGCATGTGTGTAAGCCTTTTAAAGACTATATGTTATATCAGTAAAATGCCTAAGCATTCCATATTTATTCTAGTTATTTGTTGTATATTAATTTGACTTAATCACACTTAATATTCCAAGTGCATGGGTCTTATCACTCGCACAGCAGCTTTCGATCAAAGCATCTGGACCAAAGTTGCTCGAAACTGACCTGAGCTAGTTACCTTTTCGGAAAAATCCGCCACGAAAATCGTGGGAAATTTTCCCAAAAGCGCATATCGAATGCAATTAAATGTTCGCGACGTCTCGCGGTGGTTACTTCGCCTCGCCTCCCCTCGTCCAACCGAAACCCAAAACCTCGAACCCCGGCTCCAGGGGTTGTTCACGTTGCGCGCGGAAAACTTGCGCCTTTTCCGCTGAACTCTCATTTTCACCCCCAAAAACGGCGCAGTGGAAATAGGGAAAAATATATGAAATATATAGAATTATTCTGCTTGTTGCGTGGTCAGCTTGTGATTTACCTTTTTCCGGTGACAAAACGCGGAAGTATTGTAAATCGAGCCGCGGGGAGGGCCACGACTTTTCCGCCCAACTTTGGTCTAACGATTTTTTTTCCTGGTAGGCGGTTGGTTTTCGGGTGAGTATTTCTGGTATTTGGCCGTGCGAACGTGGGAAAGCCAGACTTCAGTGTCAACTGGTTGCCGGCAATCGAAGGCATTCGCATAATTAAATGCAACGCAATGTGGCGGCAGCAGTTTGATTTCTCCCCAGATAAAACAGGCCAAAAAAAGGGAGGGTGGCAATGGAATTTAACGTGGTCCTAATGGTCAGCTCAAGTCACCTCGTCGAGTGGGTTCTTTTATAATGATTTGGATGCCTGTGGTGATATAGGATATATTCTTGTTTTTTGTAAGATTTTCTGGGATATATTTTTCAGATTTAAACGAGAAACCAATGTAATTTCAGGAACAAAAATGTCTATTTCCTTGCATTTTTCGTTCTTTGCTAATTTATTCTTGCAAATTATTTTTCAAGTGACATAGCCAGCTCGATTTGAATGTTAATGCTGATCAAGAATATATATAATTTATAGGGTCAGAAATGACTCCTTCACATCTTAACAATTCTGACTAATATATTATAAAATTTGAATAAATCCATACTGTATTTTATTATTATGTTGTACGTCTCTCAGGCACCTTTGATTCTTTGGTTTACTAGCTAATTTGAGCTTTCATTTCAATTATTTTACAATTATTACAAGTAAGCTGGATATGAGCCTTTGTCATTTAGCTGCAATTCCTTCCAGGATATTCAAAGCCATCAAGAACGCGTTCATTACTCATTACTCAGTTTCGGTTTCAGCTTCTATTGTCGTTGCCAGTTCTCCCTACTCCCTAAGATGCATTCATCTTGACACCTTTTGGTTTCCCCAAGAGGACCAGGAAGATCTCGCCTTGAGTCTCTGGGCTCCGTGGCTTAATGCGAAATAATTACAACTTGTTCGCACATCATTCAGCACAAGCAGGCAACAAAAAAAGAAATAAAAAGTTATCTGTCAGCTCGGCGTCCCCTTCATTTGTTTGTCCAATGACGAATGTGACCCTCCAATGGCGAACGATGATGATGCCGATGATGATGATGAAAACTTCAAAACGACACTTGCCTTATTTGCATTTTGCGTATATATATTTTTCTTTATTTATTTTTTTCTGTATTTTTTTTCGCAAAGGCTCTTGTGGGCGCGTCGGTAAAATTTCAAAGTCGGCATCATTAACACCAATGCGCCATTTTGGTATTTCGATGTCGATGAGTTGTGGAGTGTGTTGATGGTGATTGATGTAACTTTTCAGCCGGCCGAGCAAGCCAGCAAAGCCAGCCATCCATCCATCCATCCCATCCAGTTCCACTCAGCACTTGGAACTCGATCTCGAGTGAGTGTACCAAATTGGTAGCTTGCTGGCAGCCCGAAACCGAAACCGACCCTCCTCGGGGCCCTCGGCCTCGGCCCCGGCTCTTTATTTGTTGTTTTAGTACGTACATATAGTCCCAGGCCGCGTTGCCCCCCGGTCTATGCTAATTTGTTATTTTAAGCATGTTTGTTTGCCCAACAGCCCTCCACAGCCCGCTGCCAGCCCTGCAGCCTTGCTGCTGCAGCCTTGTAGTCTCGGACGAAAATATTGACAAATGCGACGACGGCGGAAGGGATCGGAAAATGGTAACTTTGTCTGCACCTGAGGCGAAATATTCCCAGCAACAAATAACAAACAAGTAAACCAATTAAAGGAAAAGATACAATTTGAATTCGTAATGCATTTGGCCGAAGCCGAGTGTTTCAAAATAAAATTTGAAAAATATTACGATGTGGATTTTCACATTTCCCAGGGAGCAGTAGAAGGGGATAGAAGAGGTTCTGTTTTAATTGGAATTCATTTCTAAAATCAAATAGATATTGAATCCAATAGAGCATTAATGGGAAAATAATTTATAAATCAGAAATTTAATATGGAAATTCATATTTATTGTATTATTACTTTGCTTCTACTTCGTCTATCGATAATGTAGCAAATTTATTTCTGGAAAAACCAGCTTAAAACCTCTTTATTTATTTATTCAATTATACATTTATTGTTTATTTAAACAACTGACAGAAATTGGGAAACCTTAAACCCTAAATAAATGTGAAAAGCTTACGACTATTGGCACTTGAAGAACCCTTTTGAACCGTGTAAACTTTAACCAGATTCTCAATAACCTCATTAACCCACTTGGGAAGCCTGGACTTTGGACAAGTCTAATCTGGTTATAAACAGCCCCGGGAGGTCCTGTTACATCCAGGGCAGGGAATTCCACTCAAAAATCGTCCAAGGAAGGATAACACGTTCTAACCCCAAATAGACAATAACTCAACGCACTAATTACGAAAGGAGACAAAGGTGGCGGCTGCACATTGACTTCGTCACTCCGCCCGGCCCTAATAATAATCGGGCCCAAAACCAGATCTTGAAAATATTCAATTACCGCAAATTTGTCGGCAGAGCATAAATGCAATAATTAAGAATCAAGTTGCCAACAAAAAAGTGAACTAGACCAGAGACCAGAGACCAGAGACCAGAGACCAGGCCGGACCAGATCAGACAGTCGTAAGCCGACCCTTGCTCTGGGGTGGCGGAGTGATACATTCGCACAACTTCCGTTGGAAGTCATGTAACTTATTTCTCGTTACGCCTGAGAAATTTTTACAGTTGACATTGAGACCGCGCCCCGTAACTGAAAACTCGAGAACTAACCCAAATAGGTTTCGGAAGCTGCGGTCGACCGAGCCTCAGACTCAAACTCAGACTTCAGAACCCCGATTCCGATTCCCTTAGGGGGACGGAAGGCAAACAGTAACTTCTTTCTTGGGTTTTGTTTTTAGTGGTGGCCGAGGCATTTAAATGTGTTTCCAATTTGTTGGTTTCCCTTCCCCTGTCCCCGTATCCTTATCACTGCCCTTGGAGTGGCACTCGTGAGAGAATTCCCAGACTAACCGAACCGAACCGCTCGACTGACTGCCCCTCCCTGACATCCTTTTGGAAGGGAATCAAAATCCGTATCGGAATACGAAATACGAAATACGAATGCGATCGCGACACCACCTCAGCGGGCATTCGGTTCGGCGGACTTTAATTATGGGTGACAATGGCAACGGAATTGATTTTCGATATTTGATCATTCGCTGCGGTTAGTTAACGCTCTTTAGCGATGAAAGCGGCCACAACCGCAGGCGCGGCGGGGTGACAGAATCACAGATGGAATTACGGCAAATGAGGTGAGTGGCAGGCACTTGAAGTGATTTGCATTGCACTTCTTCGAAGGCAGTTTTGAAACAGTTTCGGGATCGGTGATTTATGGAAGAGAAAAGTCCACGGGAGGAGGGAGAAATAAGTAAATCATGTTACCATAAAAAGATCAAAGATTAAAGAATTGAATTTTATTAAATGTAAAAAGAAAAGAGTGACTATTAATCAGAGAAAGGTGAGTAATATATCAAATGCAAAAAATCAAGGTTAATCTGTAGGCATCCATGAATTTTAAACCCGAC